ATCTTTATCATAACTCATGATTATCCAAGATCACATTATCTAGGATAGCAGAAATCTATGGATGACTCAGTAAGTTATTACAAATTACTTTTATGCATTATCTTTGCAAGTTGTTGGTCAGGATCTAAGGGAACAGTAAAGTAACTGTCAGATAGTTGTATGTATTATTTTTTTTTCTTTAAAAATCACATGTTCTGTTTACTGGATAGCAGATTTAATGGTGCCAATTATCTGGGATGACATTTTTCTCCATTCATCACAATAATGGAGAGGATGAATGTTGAAATGGGCATTTTCACCTTCATAACAAGGAGTTTCAACTTACTGATTATAACTATCAAATTATTGAGACTGATAGTGTCACGCTTTATTTTTGTTTGTTCTAGAACAAAGCTGGTACTGGGCAAAATGCTTCCTTTGGGATGTTCAATTGAGTTTGGATGTTCTTGTGTAATGTCTTAGCCTTGCAATCTGTCATGACAATAGATGTGTCCATTTTGTGGACCATTTAATTATGACATATTTGTTAGAAATAGCTGTTTGAATTGTTATAATGTGTGGCTAGATGATCAAAAAGACAAAGGGTTTATTTAGCCTGCTGCTCTCAAGGGATCTTCAGAAACTTTTATGGATGGTTTGGTTTTGTTGTGTTGGACCCCATTCCTTGCTGTTACTTTGTTAGCCTGGCCAAGCACATAATAGAAGCAAAAATGCCTATAACTCCTTGGCCCATTGCAAGCCTACAAGGTTTTTTTGTGGTCCACATCTGGAAAAGGTTACTTGTCACTGCTCTAAACTACGTGGATAAAGACAAAATCGTAGCCTGCATCAATAAATCTAATTTCTTTTTTTGTAAAACAACAAAATTGGGTTCATGTATTTCAATTTAAATACATTGAATCATTTATTTGCTTCTTTAAAATGAAACCTTGAATGCTACATTGTCCATTCAAAAGGAATAGTCATCGACCTTGTACCTGCTGCTTCACAAATATAATTAATTTTTGCCTCACGTTTTGAGTTTTTCCAATAAAAACTTGCAGTTTTTAGTATTTATTTTGTTAGACTAGTCGCTTGAATCCAAAAAACAAATCTATTCAGATTTTGTGATTCAGAGTTGTCTCAGCTTTCTGAAAGATTTGATTTAAAAAATTGCTTGGCGTTAAAGTTTTAAGAAATGAAACTAAAACTACACATTATTTTAGAAGACAAATGTTTTTTCTATTTAAAAATTGAATCTTAAATTTTATAAAAATTTGTTTAATTTAAAATTATTACTGGAACTATTACTGCTATGAGTTGTTGGAATTATATTTAACTGNTTGCAATCTGTCATGACAATAGATGTGTCCATTTTGTGGACCATTTAATTATGACATATTTGTTAGAAATAGCTGTTTGAATTGTTATAATGTGTGGCTAGATGATCAAAAAGACAAAGGGTTCATTTAGCCTGCTGCTCTCAAGGGATCTTCAGAAACTTTTATGGATGGTTTGGTCTTGTTGTGTTGGACCCCATTCCTTGCTGTTACTTTGTTAGCCTGGCCAAGCACATAATAGAAGCAAAAATGCCTATAACTCCTTGGCCCATTGCAAGCCTACAAGGTTTTTTTGTGGTCCACATCTGGAAAAGGTTACTTGTCACTGCTCTAAACTACGTGGATAAAGACAAAATCGTAGCCTGCATCAATAAATCTAATTTCTTTTTTTGTAAAACAACAAAATTGGGTTCATGTATTTCAATTTAAATACATTGAATCATTTATTTGCTTCTTTAAAATGAAACCTTGAATGCTACATTGTCCATTCAAAAGGAATAGTCATCGACCTTGTACCTGCTGCTTCACAAATATAATTAATTTTTGCCTCACGTTTTGAGTTTTTCCAATAAAAACTTGCAGTTTTTAGTATTTATTTTGTTAGACTAGTCGCTTGAATCCAAAAAACAAATCTATTCAGATTTTGTGATTCAGAGTTGTCTCAGCTTTCTGAAAGATTTGATTTAAAAAATTGCTTGGCGTTAAAGTTTTAAGAAATGAAACTAAAACTACACATTATTTTAGAAGACAAATGTTTTTTCTATTTAAAAATTGAATCTTAAATTTTATAAAAATTTGTTTAATTTAAAATTATTACTGGAACTATTACTGCTATGAGTTGTTGGAATTATATTTAACTGGACATAACCATTACCAAAAGGAACTTATCAGATTAATTGCAAAATATGTAAATGAAGATTCCTATAATTAATCCTACTTATACCATGAATCTCCCCTAATTATATTACATTTGTTTTTTTATGAATGCATAATCACTTACTAAAGAATTTATCAAATTATTTCATGCAAGAAAATTAAAATGAGTATATACTGCTATAAAATAGATGAGCTGTCTGGTACAGCTGCTTAAAGTTGCTTTTTTAAAAGACAGTTTTATCACTTCTTAAATGAAGTAAATATTTAAAATCTTGGCAGAAAGTTTTTATATTTAAAAAAAAAATACTTTTAAAAATTAATTTTAATTTTTTTAAAAATATAAAAACTTTGTGAATATTTTTATTATTATTATTTTTTTCAGTCATCTAATCCAGTGACAGTCCAGAACAGAATTCTTACGTGCGGAGATGATCTTTCCTTTGAGGCTACAGCTCCGCAACATCATGTAAATGGAAGTAGCATCTTCTGGTAAATTAGCCAAATTTGCAATAAAATACATTAAATGAAGTAAAGATTTAAAATCTTTGTAGCCGGTATTATCTACGGTATTCCATTTACGTGATTTTGCGGGGCCATAGCCTGAAAGGAAAGGACCTCTCTTCATATAAGAATTGTGATTTGGACTGTTGCTGGATTAAAAGACGGAAAGAAAGCAAAGATATTTGTGGAGTTTTTATATTTTTAATCACTTCTGTTTTAAGCCAGGCTTTCACAGCAATGTGAACCACTAAAAAATGGTTACAAACTGCCAGTCTGTCCCCTTTTGACAAGCGTTTGACCAAGTGCTTGGAGTTGAGGATAACTCACTTTTTCCATACTTCAGTTTATTTGACCAATGTCTTTTCAAACTAATTTGCTCAAAGTCAGAACTTTGGACAAATTGTTTTCTAGTGACATCAAACTGTTACATACAAATCATTTTTCAATGCCAAGTATAGACTTTAATACATTTTAAGCTGATATACAAAATTCAGTAGTTGTGCTTTTTGAGTATCATAAATTTCACATAAATGATGACAAAAAATATTTAATGAGTGCTTTGCTTATTTTGTTCCAGCTTTGTTGGAATGTTTAAAAATTTGATGGTTTTCAAAACCTAAACCAAAAAGTTTTAGGTTCTGATAACATGAGAATCATTTGGACAAATTAATTTTTAATGTCTTTTATGCATTGTAATACATTCACGGCAAAAAGAAAATAAAACTTCTCTGTTTTAATGATATATTTACAATTTTTTTTCTTCTATGTTCTATGCACTGTTCTTCCCCAATTTCCGAATCCAATTTTTGTACATATTTTTGGGAATGCATTGCATCTCAAAATTGGGAACTATCTATACTTTTAAACAAAGATATTTGTCAGACTTCAGATTTAATTTTGAGGGACCTCAACAGTATGAAATATTGCTGTTAATTACATTAGAATGATTATAAAAATACATGGATTATGTTTATAAAACTAGATTCCTATTTCCAAGTAATATATGCAATGAACTGGGGATAATAGAATCAGAACTGTTTTCTAGTTCTTCCCCAATTCCATGCACACCGAAACTTAAAATTCAGTTTGTTCCCCACTATCTTGCCATGGATGTAGCTCAGAATAGCAAAAGCAAGTTTGATAGTTAATAACAATATTTAATCCTAATTATGCTTGCTGCTTAGAATGTTGACTGGTGACACACACACACACACACACACACACAATTATTACCATTATTTAGAACAGATACACAATTTCTAATAAATGTGGTAAAAAATGATATATTTTATATAAGTGCAGCTGGAGAATAATCAAAGACTGAGTTAGAATAGAGTAGGAAATATTCATATAAAATAAACATAGCACCTTGTAACTCCAGTAGTAATTTAATAAATTAGAATGTTTTCGACCTAATATCATAGGCCTTTCTCAGTGAAGTACGCAAATTTAAAATAAAACAAACAAGCATAAGTATATTGAATGCATTGGAAATAATTTAAAAATTAAAAAGTGCTCCGAAGAGAGCACTAACAAACATAGAAAATTAAAATTAACAAATTAATTAAACAAACAAAATGATATTAAAGTGCTAAAAATACAGATTAATATAAACTATGACAATTATAATATAACCAAGTTCCAAATTACATTTTGTAAATGGATTTCCATACAGTAGGTACGTTGTCAAAGAACTAGCCTCTATTCATTAGTCTACATACACAAGGGAAAGTAGTGTGGTGTTCATTATGAAGTTTAACATATTGTATATTATGTGAACTGTTATAATCTGTTTGATATGAGGTTATAAAAAAAACCAAATGTCTCACAATATCGTTTGACACAGTGATTGAATTTTTTACCTACAGTGGCAGCGATGACCATTTAAGATCCACCAAATCAATTTCTGCAATGAAGTAGTAATTATTCTAGGAAGTATTATAGTATGATTTTGTGTATTTTAATATATTTCTCTTTACTGTGTTGTATTTTGACACTAAGGTTTATAATCTTGACATTGTTTACCTATTAAGAGAGAGATATTGGTTAGTATTTCAAGTGAAAACTAGTTTTTAGTGATGATGGCAGAGTTCCTATATATAATTTAATAAGTTGTGTCTTTGTAGTTTATGCCTTATTCAAATAATGGAGAAATAATCCCAAAAGTTCTTTGAAATGTTTGCTTTTGAATTTTGATTTTTTTTTTAAATATGGAATATTAATTATCTTTCACATATGTGTATGCACTTATATTATTAAATAGTATGTTTTAAGAACTAAATTGATATTTTTCTTATTTTTCAGGGGTTCTTCCGGAGGAGCATTCAAAAACAAATAGAGTATCGTTGTCTTCGTGATGGAAGATGTCTCGTAATTAGGTTAAATAGAAATCGTTGTCAATACTGCAGATTCAAGAAATGTCTGGCTGTTGGAATGTCCAGAGATTGTAAGTTAATGCATTGTATTATATAAATATTAACAGTAAATTGCATTATTACTTATAAAAGCAATTACATGGTTTCACTTCATATGTAACTTTAATAATTCCATACTTACTCAGGTAATGATTTAAATGCACAGAAACTTATTGATTCAAATCAGTTCACACGAATAAACTCCAATTTAATAATATTTCAATTTTAGTACCGTTTTCTTGCTATTAGACATGTTTGTATAAAGTGACAACCCATAAGTAAATAAACATTTATTTTCAGACAGTCTTTTATTTCATAGTATTCACATGATGTAAATGCCATGTAAGCTTCTTAAAACTGCAAAACCTTAATCCAGTCGGGCGTTTCTTGGTCTGTCTTATCCAGTGGAATGTTGGCTTGCTTGGCACAGTCTAAATTTTTTCTGTGGGAAGTGCATTTTTGTGAACATCTTTGCACTGCACAATCTAGCAGATTCCAGGCATGTTTGATGGAATTCGTGTCGAGCAACCGACTGGCCCATGGAAGCTTGGGGAAGCCTTGTTTTGTCGGCCAGTTCTGGCCAACAAAACAAGTGACAGTGACAAAGTGCTTCATCATTCAGAAACAGAATGGCTTTTATAGTCCATTGGCCCACTAGAGAATATTGAAAGAAGACCCTTCTCCAATTTGGAGATGTATTTTTCAAAGTTAACATTGCCTCATGCATTTGCTATTCTTCAGTTTGTCTCTGTATTTTGTGCATCAGTAGTAATTGGATAATGTTTAAAGTGTCATATATCTTCAAGCATGCATCAACATGGGTTGCAAATGTTGACAACAAGATGGAAAATAGTGCAAAGACTGATTAATTGATATCTAATTCATGTAAACAAAAACCTTGCTTTCACAATGAAACGAACACTTTTAATATTATAGTTTTTCATTCTCCTACTACTAATGTAATTTGTATGTATATATTGCAGGTCCCTTTTGTTCTCTTTCTTTATTAGAACAAATAAAATATGTTTCTTTGTTAGTAAAACTAACATTCATTCCTAGGGATAGGAACCATTATGAGGCCTTTGTTTTTTCTGACCCAGGAAAAAATCCCTGACTAGATGGCCCTGAGAAGTCTATATGAATATCTGAGTTGTAATACTCCTTGCGGTTTTTTTTATTGGAATTTTTCATGGCTCTTAGTAGAAGAGGTCATACTTATATCTGTACAAATGGTGGAATGTGATTGGCTCACTATTCCTATAACAACTTACCATTTTTTATACTATAGATTCTTAACCATGTATAGTCTTAACCATGTTTACATAGTTCACTTTCCATTTTTTTTAAAATAAAATACTGCAAATAATTAAATTTAATGTATGGTAATAGTGTATACAATAAATGTTATGTAGTGCAGCTAATTTTAAAAAAATTGGTTTTAAGTCAAATATACGTTTTAAAAACTGCTGTTAAGAGGAGTTGTCATTACCAATGACAAAACACTATACAGATCAGGGATAGACTTTTTAAATGGTCAGCCAAATAAAAAGTCTTAAGATTGCATAAGTGAAATTTTTTAAACATTCTATGATTTGTTTGTATTACTTTTAGGATAAAAGAAAATAAAAAAACACACTGAATACAGCATTAACAGTTTTTTAATGCCACAATCAATGTGTTTTTACTTCCTTTTATGTGATATTTGGCATGAAGTTCAAGCTGTATTGTGTTATTTTTAGGATTATTAAAATGTCATATAATGTCAGATTGTATGAAAGAAATTTTTATTTTTTATGCCAGATTTTTATCAAATAAAAGTTTAAGATCACTGTCTTTCAGAGTATATAAAGTTTTGACGNAAACAGAATGGCTTTTATAGTCCATTGGCCCACTAGAGAATATTGAAAGAAGACCCTTCTCCAATTTGGAGATGTATTTTTCAAAGTTAACATTGCCTCATGCATTTGCTATTCTTCAGTTTGTCTCTGTATTTTGTGCATCAGTAGTAATTGGATAATGTTTAAAGTGTCATATATCTTCAAGCATGCATCAACATGGGTTGCAAATGTTGACAACAAGATGGAAAATAGTGCAAAGACTGATTAATTGATATCTAATTCATGTAAACAAAAACCTTGCTTTCACAATGAAACGAACACTTTTAATATTATAGTTTTTCATTCTCCTACTACTAATGTAATTTGTATGTATATATTGCAGGTCCCTTTTGTTCTCTTTCTTTATTAGAACAAATAAAATATGTTTCTTTGTTAGTAAAACTAACATTCATTCCTAGGGATAGGAACCATTATGAGGCCTTTGTTTTTTCTGACCCAGGAAAAAATCCCTGACTAGATGGCCCTGAGAAGTCTATATGAATATCTGAGTTGTAATACTCCTTGCGGTTTTTTTTATTGGAATTTTTCATGGCTCTTAGTAGAAGAGGTCATACTTATATCTGTACAAATGGTGGAATGTGATTGGCTCACTATTCCTATAACAACTTACCATTTTTTATACTATAGATTCTTAACCATGTATAGTCTTAACCATGTTTACATAGTTCACTTTCCATTTTTTTTAAAATAAAATACTGCAAATAATTAAATTTAATGTATGGTAATAGTGTATACAATAAATGTTATGTAGTGCAGCTAATTTTAAAAAAATTGGTTTTAAGTCAAATATACGTTTTAAAAACTGCTGTTAAGAGGAGTTGTCATTACCAATGACAAAACACTATACAGATCAGGGATAGACTTTTTAAATGGTCAGCCAAATAAAAAGTCTTAAGATTGCATAAGTGAAATTTTTTAAACATTCTATGATTTGTTTGTATTACTTTTAGGATAAAAGAAAATAAAAAAACACACTGAATACAGCATTAACAGTTTTTTAATGCCACAATCAATGTGTTTTTACTTCCTTTTATGTGATATTTGGCATGAAGTTCAAGCTGTATTGTGTTATTTTTAGGATTATTAAAATGTCATATAATGTCAGATTGTATGAAAGAAATTTTTATTTTTTTATGCCAGATTTTTATCAAATAAAAGTTTAAGATCACTGTCTTTCAGAGTATATAAAGTTTTGACGAGTAAAGCACAAAAGTAAACACAAAATTCTATACCTGTGAAAGTGCATGATATATTTTATTAATTAGTTTTCATATACTGTTATATTTCAGTTATTTTAGGGGTTATCACACAAATACAGATTAATATAAACTATGACAATTAGAACAGATACACAATTTCTAATAAATGTGGTAAAAAATGATATATTTTATATAAGTGCAGCTGGAGAATAATCAAAGACTGAGTTAGAATAGAGTAGGAAATATTCATATAAAATAAACAGAGCACCTGTATTGAAACCATTATTTTATTGTAAAACTATCAAATATAATGTACATCATTCAACTCCAACATGCAAAATGCATTTCGGCACTTTTTTGTTGTGTCCTCTTTGGTTAGATTTCTTATCAGAGTTTTACATGATATATCAAGACTCAATACAATATCCTTGCAACAATATCTATAAAATCATACTCTTATTAATACTTATATACTATGGTTCACTGTCGACAGTTACCCACTAATACATAAACGGCATATTTCAATTTAAAAAAATGTAATTAATAATAATTTACAATATTTAGCCTTAATGCTTTTTAAAAAAATCTTTGACCTTAAAATTTTAGATTTTAGAATCTCTAAAATAACTGGAATATAACAGTATATGAGAACTAATTAATAATAAAAGAGGGTATAAGAAGCTAGTTGGTAAACACATAATAATTTATTTTTGTGCTTTACTTGTCAAAAGTTTATTAATGCCAAAAGACAAGGGATGTTAAACTTTTATCTAATGTAAAATTGACCTCAACAGCTTTATTATTGCAATATTTATACATACGTGTATGTAATTGATTTTATATATGCATATAAATACACAGGATGCATAGTAAAGTCCTTACACACTGACATGTGAGCAACACATGTGAATGCAGTATGAAAAAACAAGAAATACACTATAAATGAACATATGAGAAATGAATGAATACATGAAAGATATACAGTAGAACCTCGATTATCCGCCCTAATTGGGGACTGGGGTTGGTCGGATAATTGAAAAGTCGGATAACCGAAAAGTATTAAAAAATCCATTATTAGTGTAGTATATTATTATATCCCATGTAATTAGTATATTAGTTTATCGCTATTAACCTATTTTGCGTTGAATTTTCATCGATGTTAAGCCTAACAAAAAATTTTTTTTAAATAATAATCGTCGCTATTGTAGCACCACATCACTAGCGGACATTTGAAATTTGCCAACTAGGACGGTCGGTTGATTGGGGGGCGGATAATCGAGGTTCTACTGTACATTGTACTGTCTGTGATCAGTATGCACATTAGCATTTTATGCTTTCTATTTACGATATTTGCATAGGCAGGGTGTTTTTTCTACTAAATTGGTCATGCTTTAGAAACTTGTAATTGACTTTTCTTTTCTATATTGTGCATTGTTTTTAAGATAGGATCACTAAGTTTTGAATTTTATTGCCAGGGGCACTGCAGGTGGTCATGTAGTGCATAGTTGCTTTACTATAACTATACATAACGTTCATAATTGTAACTATCTTCATTGTGAGTTGCTGATATAATATGAGTCATTGTGGGTGTATGAGGATTTTACTATGCATCTTATATATATACTACTGTGATCAGAAAGAATCATACAATTTATTTTATACTGTGCACTTGCAAGAGGGCAATGTTGTCTCTTGGTATGACTTTCATTGAAATCTAGCAGCAGTCCATATGTCATATTTTGTTTGTTCTCAAATAAATGCTCATTTTGTATGTAAATAATTTTTGTGCCAGCAATCTTTCAAAATGTCTAGTATAATTGGGCAAAGAATGTGCATTAAATTTGTTTCCACAACAGAATTACTGCTACAAAAATGGTGCAGGAAAAAATGCCTTTGGTGATGACAGTCTATAAAAAACAAGAATTTTCAAGTGAT